TTACTTATAGCAGATAATTGCGTGGGATAATCATATGTGGGACCCCTTTTCAGCCGCTTACCTAGCCCACCAAGCAATTCTATATTTCTACAAAACTGCCTCCCCTTATTCTTGCACCACCCTTTGGGATACCAAGATGTGGGAGAGCTCTGTTCCTGACACCAGTGGGTTGTGGTTTTTAGCAGGTGGCGGCACCATGTTTTGCTTCACCTGTTGATGCACTCACCCAGTGCATACTAGTCATACTGGCTGGTAGTGCCATAGAAGTTGGCTTGCATTCTTGTGGTGCTCTCAAATAATAAAAATTAAAAAAAAAGTTTTAATTCGTGTCTTACTTTTTCCAGGTGCTTCCCCCTCCAAAGTGGGGTGGAGGAGGGGGAAGAGCAGAGAACAACCCTAACCCACCTTTTATCTCTTCCAATTTTACTCTTTTCTCTTTTTCTTTAACCTTTATTTTTTCAAGTAGGTACCCTTGACCTTCCTTCAAGTAGATACCCCTTACTACCATCCCAGCACCCCTCTTTTAGACCTCACACCCAGTCGACGTAACCCTTCAGCCGTATGTCCTTAACAAAGTCTAGATTATATATTTGGTCCCCATACTAAGTATGCCTGCTACCTGCCAAATGCTCTCAAGACAGGAACTCCTGGTACTCTGTCACCCCTATACCACTCCTATATACTCTGAGTAGCATAACCCACCACCCATGCCAATAGACTGGCATATTGAATTTTATATGCAGAAAGATCTAACCTGGTGTTGTCCAATGCTGGTCTGTTAATATCTGTTGAATCCCCTTACTATGGTTCTTTGAGAACTGAATTGTTCTTTCATGTACCATTTACCTGTACCTGCAATTTTACATTTCTTTATATCTAGTTAAAAAAAATATATTTTTTAAAAATAAATGGATATCAGTGGTAGCCAGCAAGCAAGGTTGTGGAAACCGATCAATTGAGTTTTCTCAATGTTTCATTGGGGAGATCTTTCTTCACTTCCTATCCCAGAGACACCTCAGGAAATACCATGTAGTCTCTCCAATGTGGGAAAGGGAAATCCCCTCTTGCACAGTTGTCATCGGAACAGGCGTCCACTTTGAAGAATTTCTGTTCTGATAACAACATTTTGTATTTCCCATCACTTTTTGTACCTGTCACAATGGTCAGCAGGACAAATGGAGAGGGTGAATCTCTGCAGCAAGAGTAGAGATCGGAATGGTATGTTTAGACTCTACATACACTTTAAGCCATTTTCCAACTGACAGCAAGACAAAACTAACAGGGTGGAAAATTGTAGTCAAGTCCGGTAGCACACTGCAAACTTTGCTGAAGAATTTTTTGTAGCAGACGGGTACACATCGTCCTACCATGAATCCTCCTCACTCTGACATGTTTCACCCAATAATGGGCTTGATCATAGAGAACAAGTAATCTCTGAGTAAGGCCATTATTGGATGAGACATGTTCGAGTGAAGAGGATCCGTGGTGGGATGATATGTATTTGTTTTATACAATACATTATTCAGTGAAGTTTGCAATGTGCGGCCAGACTTTTTTCTGTCAATGACTATGGATGTTGGAGCAAGACTGGCTCGGCCAGTGTGCATCCGTTGTTCTCTCTAGTGCTTCTGTGAAGGAGTGTTGATACGGAGTTATGGAAGTTGGGGTGAAAATTTTATTCCATCTGTAACTAGACGAATTTCCTATGCTCCTTGGCTCCACCTAGTGGTGGTAATGCTGTGCCAGCGGCATTCACTCAGCTTTATGCTGTGCGGTAGATTTATACATTAGCCGTCTAGTATTTTTACTACAGCTTCAAATGAAGATTTTAAAACCATTTTGTTATATAGGGGTATTTCAGTGGCATACTTTATTACTGTGTTAGGTACAAGTGCTTATCGGTTGTAAGCTCTCCCTTGAAAGACCTCAGCACGGCGTAGATGTGTTTTTTATTTCCTTCTCTGCTACTGAACTCTCCAACAAAATGTTTTACACACAGGCAAAGCATTGAGCGGGTTTTCTCTGATGTAAAAGAACAATTTAGCCGGATTTGCAAGTTAACTAGAAAACAAAGCCGCCTTCTGAAGGGAGAAATCGCATCTGGTAATGGTATGATGTGCTTTATATTTCACAGTGAATTAAATGCATGATTTCACATCTCCTGATCTGTAACCTCTTTATATCTATAGAGCAGGTATCAGCAAAGTAAAATATGTTATAAGCTGAATGCATATACAGTTACCCCCTATATCTCTCTTTATGTATTGTTATGCAGGCAGTGAGTTATGTATTGCCTTGTGGTAGAGGCTGGATGTGTCCTATCCCTCTCCTCCCCTTTTCTTCTCCCTTTTAGTTTGTTACCCCTTCCCTTTTTCCCTGTTTATACATACTCTGTACACGATTTTGTATTTTTATATTTGTCGCATTCGGTTTACTGTATGTGCCTGTACAAAAAAGCTAATAAAAACTATCTGATTTTTTTTTTAAATACGTTATAAGCATGCTTTCCGCATAAAAACCTGTGAGGATAAGGATATGGGAGCTGCCATAGCTGACTTGTTTTTAAAGATGCATAGCAATGGTGAATGTTGGTTCATTTTGGCACCGAGAACCTGGCACTGTTGGTTTTTGGAGCAAGGACTGGGTGGTTTTTGGCACTGATCACACAGCATGATAGCTTTTGTAGGTGATAAGGTAAAGAAGGGTTAGTAGGGGTTAATGTAGTGTTGGGAGATTAGGATTAGAGTTCAGATTTAAGTTTTATTCCAGGCGAACAGCTAAATATGCAGTAAAAACACTAATAATGGGAGTTGTATTATCTGCAACAGGATTCTGTCCTGAGATGTATTGCTTGCAGACTGCAAAGCCGGGGTGACTGACTTTTCTTTGCTGCCGTTATAACTAATATTTGATCTGCTTTTACTTTTTCCGGTTAACTCCCCCCCCCACCTAAATGGTAATGACAATTTTTTATGTAACCTTTTCATTGCATGCCTTATTTTAGATCCATTGAGATCACTGGGTCTCTATGCTTTTCTGTACAATGCAGGCAGATTCTGGATGCTGGCTAGGAGCAGCAGGGTGCTGTACATAGCATCCTGAAAACATTACAGAATCCTGCCCCAGTATTCCACTCAAGAGCCCTTAGGCTGGGTTCACACCTGGGCATACCATAGGCGCATTTTTTCTGCTCGTTTTTTCAGCTTGTTTTTTTCGTTCAGTGAAACGCGCGTTCGGCTCTCGTTTTTATACCTCCACACTTGGGAATACCAATGGATACGCGCGGAAAAATGCCCCAAAGAAGCTCCTGTACTTGTTTGGGCGTAGGGCGTTTTTCAGCGTGTTTCCACGGGCTGAAATACGCTCAGTTGGGAACCATGCCCATAGGGATTCATGGGTTTTCACTTGCAGAGCGTTTTTCAGTGCTTCGATCAGCGCTGAAAAATGCCCAGGTGTGAACCCAGCCTTAGACCTGATGTAAGCAGTGGGCTGGCTCTAGGAAAAAGTTATGCAAATATTAAAATGCCTTGACGGGTGGATATCAGTCTGGCCATTCCTATTCAGTTTGCATGCAGACTGTCCTAGGTAATACCCACATGTGGTGCTGAGCCTCCCTAATTGAAAGAACTGGAATCCAATGAATGAAAAGTGTGGGTCAGTAAGGCTGGGCAAGATAGAGCTGGATATTATCCAGCTAGAGGACATTATTATTATTATTATACAAGATTTATAGGACATTCTGATGTCCTCCAGCCATGAATAGGGGTGGCCTCTGTCTGACTTTCTGCAGCTTCTAGTGCACACTGAGAAGCTCAAAGTGTACAGTGAAATCAGAGTAAGCAGTTTTAGTGCAGGAGAGGAACCTGTGCAAGACTGAAGGTAAGGCTGGAGTTCAGCTTTAAGCAGTAAAGTTAGGGCCCCTTCCTCTCTCTAGTCTGTGATTGGACGGTAAAGATAAAACAGCCGCAATTTACCCCTCTGCTTGTTATGCCTTCTGTGCTTGTTGCCTTGCCCACCCTTCGCACACCTCCATCACAGCTGTGCCTGATGCATGCTTTGCACTTTTCCACAAATACACAGTTATTCTTTAAGTTTAGGGTTATATTTTAGGTAGCTTAATGTTAGTTTAAGGGTTTCATAGTTCGATTTGAAGTGTTATGGATTCATTTAGTGGTTAGGTTAGGTTTAGGGATAGGTACTATATTTGTTTAAGTTGTAGCCTATAGAGTAGTCCAAGTGTCTGCTGTCTTCAATATGATAAACTTGGAAAAAGCGGACTCTCTATATGGAACAATCGTCCTGTATGTTTGTTCTAGGTTGGTGGCTCATTAAGTGGTAAGTCAAGGATCAGGATGACAGCCCAAGAGTTGGTGCCATTTGAAAAGCATTTCATCAATGGCGGCTCCCATTTTTCTATTCTCATAGCTTAATAGTAATAGGTTAGAAAAAAAGACAGTGCCTGGTAATACGTATTTTACAGTTCAACATTTAGAAATGCAGGATAAAGGAAAACCAAAAAGTATTGCACAAAAGTATAAAGTGAACCTGTCATTACATTAATGTACTGTAGTGCCATTCTGTACACAGAAGGCACCTAGAGCTAACTGCAAGAATACACAAAAACCTTGCAGAGAGCACCAGAATCACTCTGTTATACATATTTAGCTGAGGCCTCTCTCACACTTTCCTGTTCATTCATAACTATGGTAGGAGACCTCACTGAGGGGAACTTACAGCACTAACTTTTTATTTAAAGTATCACCACAATTTAAAATTAATTTTTGGATCCCCCAGGGGACCAAGTGCATATGTAGCACTTTGTCCAGTTCTGATCTATGCTGGTGTTGTGCATTAAAAGAACATTTCTTTTTCTATGCTGGCTGTAGCTCCACCCCAGGCTGAAGCCCAATTTATGGTAGTTTCTATAGGAGAGCTACAACATAGCCCTGAAGCCACCACCCCTCTCTCCTGTGTACTGTTTCCTATTCAGAGTAGGTGCCTCTGATAAGGTCATTCAGAACAATATGATTTTTCTGGAGTACCTGATCACAGAACATATAAAACAAATCTGAATGATCTCCGAAGCATCTGAAACTGATGCCATGAACAGAAGCCCTTCGCTGCACTCAGCCTTGTAGCCACCCAGGGTCCTGTGCATTCACTGATTTTCTGGTACTGAGTGCATTGGCTTTGCCACCTGCCCATATTCCATAAAGTAATATTCTGTGAGTGTGCAAATTGTCTACAGGCTGGGGCATTGTTGGCTGGGAGGATGGTGGGCGTGACTGCATTCTGACATGTTCCAAGTAGTCACTGTGTATGGCTGCCATCATCAGCTATGCCATTAGGCAGTCATACATGCCTCTACCTGGTCAGTTCTCATACCCATTGCAGGACCTAGCTCTTCAAAACTTGCATGACCACTGTATCCAGGAAATTGGAATGTGGAGAATTGCACTGTAAAAAGCACAAAGGTTTTTTTTATTTGTGTTGACCTGGGTAAAAAAATTCAGACCATTTGTGTTGAGAGTTTCACCTTTATTTCCTGTCATGTAAACACAACACAAACAGGGCTATTCACAAAAGGGTGAAGAGTTTGGAGAAGGTAGGAGAAGTGAACAATCTAGGACTTTGGTGGCGAACCTTGGCACTCCATCTGTGCCAAAACTACAAATCCCAACATGCATCTGCCTCTGGGAGTTATGGCTGTGGCTGTCAGAGCCTTGCAATGCCTCATGGGACTTGTAGTTCCAAAACAGCTGGAGTGCCAAGGTTCGCCACCACTGATCTAGGACAACATAACTGAACTGGAAAGTGAGCCGAATTGGAGAATTTTTCCAAATCCGCTATTTTGGCCTAGATTGTTCATTTCTTCTGCTCATGCAGAAATTAGGAAGATAACAATGCAGTAAGGATAAATGTATATTAAACAATTACAGTCAATGCTTTTATTACATGTAGATCCCACCTTAGAATTTTCCATGCCTATCCAATGCACAGATGAAGACAGTAAGGAAACTGAGATACTGCCGAAGCCAGTTATGACAATGGGCCTATCACACTTTGCTCCCATCACACCACGAGGATTGACGCCAGATGACGACCTGACCGTCTCTGTAGAATCCCTCTCAAACTTGAGCATCAAGTTCCCACCAAGCACGGACAATTCTGAATTTTTACAGAGTTCTACGGAAGGGCCGCCAGTTCTCCCTGTTGCACTGGAACAAAATACAAATTCTAGCAAAATCCAGGTGGAAGCTCCCCCCAAGCTTAGGAAGTTCAGCACAGCAGTGAGCAGTCCGCCATATTCACCTCGCTCACCGAGAACTGTATGCCACATGGACAATGTCAAGGTTGATGAACTAGGACCTAACTACAAGGACACCTTTGTGGGAGGAGCTGAAGATAGCAGTCTTTTCCTAGCAGCCAACAGTCCATCTGGGAAATATACAATTGCCTTCCATATGCCAGATATTCCAAATTTGGATGGATCTATAGAAGTAGCAGAAAGAACAGTCCGAGGACCTCAGCAGGTAATCTGCCTTTTGTTGCCTGTGGTCAGTTTATCCAGTCTTGGGTTAACTGTTATGGTTTTGGGTCAATTTTAACTTTACATTTACAGAATTTGAAACCAATGTTTTTTATATGTGCTTTGCTGCAGTTTTTTTTAAATGTTCTAAAAACAAAGATTTCAAAACTTACATGCTGTTGGGGCTGTTGTTCCTCCAAACCGACTCCTACCTCACTACTGTGTTTTGTAGTGATGTAGAAGTCAGCAGGAAGTACCACAGCAACCAGCGAGGGACATGCTATCTGACACCCTATAGCAGAGGTGCTATTATCTCTTAAAGGAGAACTATGGGGTTAGGGCTTTTCCCCATAGTTCTCCTAAGGGTAACGGGAGGACACAAACTAGCGTCCTCCCGTCACCCAAAGCTCAGTATATAGCGAGCTACAGCTCGCGGTATACTGAGACGCCGGAACGGATCCCAACAATGCTGTCTGGACCACCCAGCTTCATGAGTGACAGCTGGCTCTGCCTATCTAGAAGCAGAGCCAGCTCTACCCGCCCGTCCGGCCAGTCAGCGCTGGAGGATTGGACAGGGCAGAGGGGAATCCAGTCCCTCCCATGTCACGGCTCTCTGCCGCCACAGGATCGAGAAGTGAGCGAGCGCCGGTATGTGTTCGCTCACTTCCCGATCTACTGAGCCGACCTGTGACAGTTTCATTGTCACAGGTCGGCTCAGATTATGAGGCTGAGTGAAAATCACTCGCCTCGTAGTTCTCCTTTTTAAAAATGAAGGTTTGACTTATCATGCACTGGATGGGTACGTATGCAGACTCTTCTTTTACAGGCTACTTCAAAATAAACAAAAAAAGTATTAATAGCGACAGACTCCTTTTCATAAAGGGTGTGTCCATGACACAAGTTTCAGAGCATTGTCGTTTCCTAAAGAGAGATCACAGCAGAACTCTCTGAAGGGAATTTATCAAAACTGGAGCAGACAAAAACTGGAGCAGCTGTGCATGGCAACCAATCCGCTTCTCTCTTTCATTTTCAAATCCTAACTGAACAAACTGAAGAGAGAAGCTGATTGGTTGCAATGCACAGCTGCTTCAGATTTTGTCTGTTCCAGTTTTGATAAATTCCCCTCTCTGTGTTATGAAAACTCTGCACAAAACTTTCTGAACAGGTGGGCAAGGTGTGAAGAATGAAGGAGTCACTGCTGCTATTACTCATTCAGTTGCATATAAATTTCAGCTATTAAAGTGACACTAAACTCAGGCGTTAATTCTTAAAAATGCATTCAAGTACCTTTTTAATTATTAACCAAAATGTGTCTTAAGGTGCCCATACACCTTACAATTATCAGCCGATTTTCGTATGCGATCGTGTTTTCGTCCCATATTTGTAAGGTTGATGGGCAGTGTACAAACGCAAATACTGTAGAATCGATTGACTTTTGACTAACCAGCAGGTTAGAAAACTACGGTCGATCGTGCGATTTTCGCAAGGTTGGTGGCGTTTCCGTACGCCAAAATTCGTGCGATTAACACTGCTCATGCGCAAATGAAAATACGTGCGGTCGATTACCGCAATTCGTCCAGGTGTTTTTTTTTCCACTACAGGCTGAGTGAACCTTGCGATTATTTGGGCAGGATGGGGATGTACGACCTTTTTATTTGTGTATCACTCGGCTGTAGATGCTGAAATCATCTCTGAATTGGTGCTGACACTGTCCTTCCTTCTGGAGGGGGCTACTATTGTTCCCCATGGTCCCTGTGTGTGTTGTAAAGTTGTCACCGCTCCAAGCTCACTTCTGTGATGAACTACAATCCTAGGTTTAGTTTACTCATTTGTATTGAGTCTAGTGTCACGTTAAGCTCTGTAAAGAAATGACTTCAGCAAAGCAGATAGGAATGGACAGGTAAACATGTGAAAATGCATCCAGAGCTCCACCTGTTGGCTGTGTATGAAAATATAAATATTTATATCCTCATTGCAATTCTGATTTTCTCCCTTGGCTACTTTTAAGGGTTAGGGATATGTTTCCTGTAGGGGATCGGCCAATCACGTTTCTATTCATGTCATTACTATGGTACCTACAATTGGGCATCTTTTACTTATCCTGAATCTAAATGTAACCCTATAGGGGGACATTCACACCAACTCGGAAGGTCCTCGCAAGTCAATGAAATGGCTTGTGATGCATTGCGTTGTGTTAGCACACAATTTTGACACATTGCGTTGCACTAAAAAAAAAAAAGTAAAGCATGCGGACGGCAACACTGTGAACAAATGAGGCTTTCTTTTGACTATTGTCTTCTAAGAATGGTTTAGGGCTAGTTCACACCATAACTGCGTGTGTCTGCGCTGCTCAGTGCGATGCGATTTTAGAGTGCTTTTCAGCTTAAAATGGGCTTTCAGGTGCAGTCCAGTGCATTTGCATGTGTATTTGATGCGTTCCATTGTGATCAGGTGCAGCTAAAATGAGACGAGCAGTATTTTTTCTGACTGCATCGGAACGGACTGCACTGGTGTGAACAGAGCACCAGAAACCCCATTGGAAAGCATTGTGACACGCTTTTGAGGCAGCTGCCAACTGAACAGACTGCATCTGGTGTGAACTAGCCCTTAAACCTGAACTTCAATGGTGCCATAATTTAAATCTTTTATAACTCCTGACCTCTTGCAGTCCTCTGTACAGCAGGGCTGAAGTGTGAGGGGAAGAAGCAGCACAATGAGCCAATTAGTTCCTCTGCTGACAAAAAACATGTTAAGAGAAAGCAGAGTGATAGAGGGATGAGCTCATCACTGTCCTGCTTCTAGTTTTACTGGCCCGTAACAGGCTAGGGCCAGTCCATGATGACCTGGGCTCCGAGGAAGGGGGTTGGATGATGCTGGCTTATCAGACTGAGGACATCTAGTGGCGGGGAAAAAAATACTGTAGTAGGAATCGCTGGACGGAAGGTGAATATTGCATCAAAAGCTGGTTTTGTTATATTCTGCGCATTGATGAGGTCAGCTCAGACATTTCTGTCCTTTAACCATTTACATTCTTGTTTCCCTGCCAGTGTTGCTGTGCAGGTGATTAACCACCTACCACTTTCAATCTGTAGAAGAACTTTGCCCTGAATGATGCCCCATGCTGAGGGGGTGTTCATGAACACTGACCCCCTTAGCCCCCTTGTCACTGACGGCTCTGGTGTCCTCTAGCAATAGGGAACCAATCAAGGTGGTTCCTGATCATGTGATCACTATGTCACCTATGACATAATGATCACATGCAGGCCGGGGGTTTCTTTAAAAAAAAGAATAAACCTTCAGCCTCTAGATGTCACCGCAGCCTTTAGATTGCTGTGTGCTTCTGTTTCATGCTTTCCTTTACCTATTTTAGCACATAGTAAAATCAGCGCAAGCTTTGTATGAAAGCAGTGTGCCAAATAAAAACTTTCAACTTTAAAAAAAAAGTCAAAATTTAGTTAGGCAAATTAGTCAGAATTGTTCTTTATTACAAGTATTTATACAGTGCTGACAATTTACACAGTGCACATTCACATCAGTCCCTGCCCTCTAGGAGCTTACTCAAGAGAGATTTAGGTATGAGTGCCCCTGTGTAAAATTACATTTTATATATAATTAATACAAAAATATATATATAACTATACAAATATGATATATTAGGGATGCGCTGATACCAGTTCAGATACCAGTGCAGATACTTGGCATTTTCACAAGAACTACCAGGGTTGCAGCTGGGACCTGGCTCTGGCACTCCACCACTGTCCTGAAATCATTGGTCTGTATTGTTTTAGAAAAACTGTCACATGACAATAAACAAACATGTATCAGTAATTGGATTCGGTGCATCCTGAATATATATGTGTATAAAAACAATATAATACATTAAAGCAGAGATGTACAAATCCCAGGAGCTCCGTGTGCTCCTTACAAATGACAGATGCCTCCTAATTTTAGAATTTTTCTCTAGTCTAGTCTTGGAAATCGAAAAATATCTTTTCGAGCTCCAAGACTAGACTAGAGAATATATATATATACATATATATATTTTGTATTTAATTCTCATTTTGTAGTATTAGCCTAGAGTCCTGCTTTAATCTGGTGCCTGTTGTATATTGTTCATCCACTAGGTGTCCTTCTGCATTGTGTATTTTCCTCCATACCAGAACACAAGAAACAGCTGGTATGTGATTGCAAGTTGATAAGAAAATAGGCAGCTAGAGAAAAAAAAATGTTTTTAAAAATGCAAGTGAATTGGTGTATTTCCTAAAAAAAAATATTTTCTTGAACTATGTTTTTTCTGTAATGTTATATTCCTTTTAACCTCTTCAGCTCTTGTACCTTTATACCCCTTTATCGACCAGAGCGATTTTTATGATTCAACTTTGGGCCCTTTTATTTGACATTATCTTTGTCATTATTTAGATAACAAAGTTATTCACACTTTTTAGGGGGGACAAACTTGGCTTTCTTTTGACAATATGGTCTTGCAAAAACGATTGTATTTGCAATCTATAGGCAAGAAGACATAAAGCAATAAAAAAGTAGTGTTACTGTAAATAAGTTTATATTGTATTTTATCATTTCATATAAACGATGTTTCAGTGTCATTGCAAAGTTATTTGCAAATAAAAATCCTGTATTTTTATTTTTTTTTCAATTTTTAGTTTTATAACAAAACAAGTGACAATGGGGGGGCGGGAAATATATCGGTGATAAAAGGTAAAAAGAAAAACAGGAGCAGGCAAATAATAATAGCCTACTGAGGCAGATGCATGATAGTATTTGTAGTTTCCCCACAGCTGGAGGGCTGCAGTTTGGCTACCCCTGATTTAAGGTCTTCACTGGAAGCACATGTGACAGGATGACAACCCATGAGAGCAATTAGGAGACCAGCATACAGAGTTGTCACCCCATAAAAAAGGGTGACGTTCTTGGCAGAATTGTCACCCTTTGACATGAATGTCCGATGGTGACTTCAACTGGCCATTTCAACACATCTGAAAATGG